CCCCAAAACCCCAAAACCCCAAAACCCCATGCTGAAGAAATTACTTTCATTTGATTATTAGACTATAATTTAAAATTCAAAATGAGAAATTAACTTTCACAGGCAGAACTAGATCTAATTGAATACACAAGATTACAGTAATAAAAAGAGCAGGAACTAAAGAGCGTATCAATACACAGACAAAAACAGCTAGAATAGATTCTCAAGCAAAGAGACTAAAGAATCAAAGAGCTAGAAATGACTGTGACATCACAGGTTGAGTCTGTTAGTTAAATGAAAGAAGAACTCAATCTTCAAACTTAGCTGGTTGAATAATACGAATAGAGATTTATTTAGCTTAGAGACATAATAGAAAAAAGGGACCGAGAAACTAAATCTAAAATTAATGAATAAGATTAGGCGATTTAGGATTTAACATTTAAACTATAAAAGTAGTAGAACCTTGCGTAGCAACTTGAGTAAGAAAGGTCAAATATGAGTACTCAGTTAAAAGACGCCACTTGGAGTAAAGATTAAGAAGGCAAAAAATATTAACGAGAGATCAATCGACTCAAAGAACTAAATATTGAAGAGCAATAGGATTACTAGATTTAGATTTCTAATCTCAAAAATGAGATTACATAAAAGCTGAATCAAGAAATTTATGATAAGAACTAGGATATAATCAGGATAGAATCATCTTACATTGAAAGACTTAATGAATTAGGAAATGAAATAAATATGCTTATGGACTAACTCAAGAGTAAAGAGATGGTGATTTAGGAATAAAGAACTAAAATAAATGAACAAGCAAGAAAAATAGATGATTTTATGATTCAGTCAGTTAAGTTGAAGAATGATGGCTAGTCATAGGCAATGGATTTAGAGATTTAACTAAGCCGTTTAAGGACCGATAAAGAGCATGGAGATTAGCAAAAGATGGAAATGATTTAAGATCTTTAAAAGCAGTTATAAGAGGTTACTTTAAATAAGGATAGAGTAGAGTAGGAAATGAAACTTGTGATTGATAAATTACTTTATGATTAGCAGGTTACTCAACAAAAACATGATATGGAGATTTAAAAATTCTAAACGTAAACAGGGCATAATTTATAGCATCTCTAAGATATGCTTTTGATACAGTAGACTGAGAATGATAGATTAAGGTAAGAAAATGACTTGATGCAGAAGACTCTACATGACCAGGATGAGATGAGCAGAAGAGAAATGGAGGAAATGCAGACATACTCCAAAAATGTGACTAATAATTATGAGAAATAGCTAAAGGAGTTTAAGATGTAATTGTAATATAAGAACAAGGAGATATTAAATTTAAGAGAGGAGGCTCATGAATGTTAAAAGCTAATCGAGAATAAAAATAAGGAGATCGAGAGGATTAAATACTAAGCTTAGAATGATGAGTATTTATATGATTAGTGATATTGGTTACTATATGTTTTAAAGCACTTGCTTTTATATTTTAGACTAAAGGGGTTTTGGGGTTTTGGGGTTTTGGGG